GGTCTCAGACGCGCTGACGGCAGCGGAAAGCCGGCGGGCTAATTCCGACTTCACAGTCTGCGCGTCAGCGCCTCCCTCCCCGGGGGCCTGTCCCCCGGGAGGGGATAATTGGCGCATCAGCACGAGAGCGCACCCTAAAGGGGGCTCAGGGAGCTCAGAGGCCACCGCACAGCCGGCGCCCCCTTCCTCCTGCGGCTGCCTGCTGGCACGCAGGGCCCGCCCACTGCAACTCAGTGTCCCGGGCTTTCGGAGTGGGTGCCCAGCGCGCCGCCCTGTTGGAAAGGAGAAGCGCTCCGGAGTCCCTGTGGGTTGTTTCCAAAAACTGTTTGTTCCTGCGAGGAGGAGCATGAGCATGCACAGGGCGGGTTTCGTCTTGACTTTGTTTCGGGGAGAGTTGGTTTACTGCGGAGAGGACACAGCCCGTCAGCAGCTGGCCCCGCAGGTGCAGGGCAGTGAGGACCCCCCCCCCCACGCCGGGCAGGCTCCGCCCACCGCTGGTCCTGCGGCTGCAGCGGGGGAGGGGGCTGCAGCAGGGGCGGGGCCCGCGGTCCTGGCTGACACGGCGCCCTGGGGACACCACCCTGGGGACGCCGCCCCGTATGCTCTCCTTCCGACTCCACTCGGCTCACTTGGCCTGGCCCAGGCCGACAGCGTCGAACTGTCCAAAGGTTCCGGACACGATCATTCACGTTTTCACCCAGGCCACCCGGTGCCTCCTTTGATGTGCACTCCCAAGGGCGCGCCTCGCGTCCGAGGCCGGTGTGTGCGGAGAACACCGCGCCGGACGAAGGCGCAGCGAGCCTGTAGGCGGGGAGGCCTCTGGTTCTGTCCGGCCCACCCCAGCGGAACCGGGGACTGGGCTGCGACGTCAGCGGTCCGGCGCGGTCCGGGCGTCGCTCAGGGCGACAGGAGTTGACGTGTTTGCAAGTGTGTTTCAGACACAGAACACAGGAAGACACAGCCATGTGGCCGAGAGAGCGGAAAAGTATGAAAGTTTCCTCCAGGCCGGAAAGGGAGTTGCTAAGCTCCCCCTTCTGGAATTTCCTGCCCTGTCAGCGGGCAGACGCAGTGCGTGCTCGTCGAGGTACAAACGTGTGTGTGTGTGTTACTTAAGGGTGCTTTCTCCCCAGTGTCCCCAAGCGTGAAAATAAACCGTCGCTCACCGGGCAGGAAATCACGATTTCAGCCGAATCTCCGCAGTCACCAGGGTCCAACGGGACACCCACCGCACCGCACGGGGAACGCGGGCTGCTAGAAAAGCCTGCGGCCCCTGCCCAGCTCCCCTCTGATCGCCAGGACGACCGGGGGGGGGGGCGGGTTTCCCCTGAACAAACGCAGACACTGGAGTGCATCCTGGAAATAAAACTTTTCATGCAGAAGACCAGCCCGCGGTGTGTGGACTGGATCGTAAGTATCACTTGAATCAGTGACATGGGAGCCGAATGTCACCTGCAACGGATGACGGCGACACCCGTCCCTGCTGCTCAGACCACAGGACGTGCGCGGCGGAGCCCGGGCTCTGAGGCAGGACGAGCCGCCGCCGGAGTCCGGCCCCGCAGCCCCCGCAGCCCCCGCAGCCCCCACAGCCCCCGCAGCCCCCGCGTCCTGGGGAGGACCCCGCCTGGCCGAGCCTCCATTTCCGATGGGCCCACCAGCGGGGACGCGCCTCCGCCCTGCCCTCCCCGGGGCCACTGTGCAGGCTGGTCCGCACCCCCGGGGGTGGCCGTCACCCACAGTGTGATGCTGGGGGGCCCTTGGAGTCAAAGCACATGCCTGACCCCCACAGCACAAATAACGGCCTCTCTGCAGGCTGTGGGCTGCTGCTGCAGCAGTCTGCTGGGCTGGGCACACGTGTCTCATCTAAAACAGACCTCTCCGCAAACGCCGCGTTTCGGCTCAGGGTGGCGGTGCCGACGGGCGCTGGCCGGCGGGCACGCAGCCTACAGGTGGGAACCACCAGGCTGTTGGCGGCTCCCGAGGCCGGCGTCGGTCCCGTCTGCACGGCGCCGTCCCGACGCCTGGTTTGGTGCCTGAGGGCCATCTGCTACGCATGGACACGCACGTGGACTTGGGGGCCACCTCTCTCGCCACTGGGGGTGCTCTGTGTCTCCACTAACGGGAGGTCGCTTCCGCTTGCTAAGGAAAAGGCACCGTTGTCCTCAGAGAAAACCTGCTGGGGACCCAGGGACGGGAGGGTCACCCCGAGTGTCACCCAGCGTCACGAAGGACCAGCTCCGAGATGGGGACCCAGCACTCTGGCCGTCACACACACACACACACACACACACACACACACACACGGGTGCACGGCCAGTGCTCGGGCACAGGCGGTGTCTATCACGTGCGGGCACGGGGGGATTGGGGGGACAAAGCACGCTGCGTGGGACGCCCTGCACCCGCGGCGCCTCTCCCGCTGAGATGCCGCGGGTGAGAGGCCGGAAGTCGCCGGAGCGGACGGCGCCTGAGGGGCAGAGTGAGGCGGTTTGGGCGGACGAGCAGCTCGGCGGTGAGCACACGCAGACAGAGCACTGGCAGACAGGCGCCTTGCAAAGCCCGCGGCACCGAACCGGACGGGGCCGGGCGTGTGATCGGGCAGAGCGGGCGCTCTCCGGACAAGGCCGTCCGGCCCGTCGATGCAGACTCTTCCGGAAGACTCGGACCCTGAGCGCCCGTGCAACCGCGGTGGGGGCGGGGGTGGGGCGGGGTGGCAGTGCCCCGGGAAGAGCCCCACACGGCCTCGGCCAAGGGGGGCCGCCTGTTTGTGGGGCTCCTCGAAGGGTCACGCCTCCCCGTGACAGGCGGCCTGGCGGCCCAGCCCCCCGGAGCCGTCGCGGAGGAGGCCGGGCACACGGGTGTGCATTGCACACCACAGCCTGCCTGCACTCCAGGACCTCCCGCTGCAGGCGCAGGGCGGAGCCCCCGGAAGCTCCTGCAACTGGGGTCAGAGCGCAAGGTGTGCGTCCTGGACCCAGACACCCAGCCGCCGGTCACGGGCCTCGCCAGGCGGTCGGTCGCCCCCCAGAACCTGCCTCCCCGGGAGCTCCCGCTCCACCCCTCGCTCGCCGGCGCTGGTCTCGCGCCTGCTGGGTCCCGTGCCCAGGCCGTCTGGGGCCACCGAGATCGCGGGCGACTGCTGGCTTCCCGGTGCCTCACGCCACCGTGGACGGTGCCACTTACTCGGACTTGCTGAAGAGCCATCAGTTTTGATTTGCTGCCCCTCCTATAAAAGTTACGTTTTAAGGGAGAGTTTGAAAAGCTCCATGCACTCACGTTATAGAGCCATTTCAACAACGCTCTGGCTACTTTCTCAAAGTGTGTCGTGAGGTACCTTTGGAAGCAGATTATTTACAACACGTCCCTACGTAAGCCGACGTTGGGAGTTTCATTGCAGCAGCACATGGAGAGCAGAACCTGAAACCTGGCTCAGACCTTTGGCTCGTGATGCAGGTACACGGCTCCCTCCTACGTCAGCCCATTGCACGCACGGGCACCCGTGACTCCGAACACTGCCACCCACGGCTGTCCAAGCAGCACGGGCACGGGAGGGAGCCGCCCTTACGCCACCTCTGGGACCAGGCCCGGTCACTTCCAAGTCGCTCACCAGCCCCAGGCACCTGTGGCTTCACCCACGGCCACACACGCCCCACGCAGCGTCTGGGAACGGCCTGCCAACCGGGCCTCCCGGCTCCCACCTGCGCCCCTGCGCCGGGCGGCTGGCGGTCTCTAGTCGGAGCCTGGAAGTCCCCGCCGTCTCCCAGGCCACCCCAGGGCCCCCGGCGCCCGCGTCTCCTGCTCTGCCACACCCAGCCCACACTCCGCATGGTCACGACCAGGAAAGCAGTCTCAGAAGACGGAATCCACGCGTGTGTCTGGGTGCATGCACATACGACAGACATGTCTGTGCTGCCACGTGACTCTAAGTGGTGACCTGCCTTCCCAGGACCCTAAGCCACTGTAACAGCCCGGGACTGTGTCAACAAATTCAGGTTTCCTGGGACAGACTCTTACGACTTCTGAAGGGCGAACCATCGGTTTTGCTGCCGCACAAGGTCAGCGGCCACCAGCTCGCCCCTGCCTGGTCTAAAGACGCCGCCCCGCGGCTCCAACAGCTGCCCTCCACCCGAAGGAGTCAGCCGTCCAGGCCTCAGACTCCCGATCGGCTTTGAGCCCAAGGGAGAAGCGTCAGAAGAAAAACACTCCCTTCACTTTTAACGATGTTTTGGCGTTTCTCTGAGGCAAACCCTAAGCCAGCAAGGACTCTGCAAACAACTTCAGCTTTCGAGAAGAGAGACGACCTTCACGAGAGGGTCAGCTCTGAAGCCACGGTCTGGAGTCTGAGGCTGACAGCAGACCGGGCGCAGAGCAGGGCCACCCGGAATGCAGGGCCCTGCCGTGCGGCACCCGCGGCGCTGGGTGGGTTCAGCCGCAGAGCCAAAGCGCGCCTCCCCGACAGGGGAGCCGTGGAGGCCCGGGCGGGGCAGCGCTTCTCTCTGTCCCCCAGTGGAAGGCGCTGGGGGGGGACTCTGGCCGTCCACGGGCGAGGCCCCCGGCCCCGGCCGCTGCTCCGGTGGCCCCACGGCGCCCACCCCCAGGGGCGGGGCGTGTGCACAGAGCGCCCAGCAGCGCTCTTTCAGCTGAGAGCAGCACCTCCGGGTGGGGCGCCCAGGAATAGGCAAGGCAAGCGCCCGGGGAGGCGCCTTCGCTGTCTGGGGGGGCGTCGCTGAGAGCACGACGTGTGGGCACCGACGCCAGCTCCGCAAACTTTTGTGACGGCCAGTGCGACCCACAGCCGGCGGCAACAAAACCAACCACGAGCCCCGCTGAGAGGAACCCTGTGAAACAGGAGCGAGGGACAGGTCAGTGGCCGCTGTCCCCGGCGCTGGCCGGGCGGGCTCCTCTCGCGGCCGCCGTTAGGGAGCCGCAGGGGTCGAGGGCGGGGACCCCCGCTGAAGGGCTGGCCCGGAGCCCCACCGGGGAGTCTGCCGTGTCGCAAGGATTACCGTGCTCCTCCTCCTCCTCCTCTTCCTCCTCCTCCTCGTCCTCCTCGTCCTCGTCCTCCTCCTCGTCCTCCTCCTCTGCGTCCTCTCCGTCCTCCTCCTCGTCCTCCTCGTCCTCCTCCAGCTCCTCCTCGTCCTCGCGGCCCCCCTCCTCGTCCTCCTCGTCCTCCGAGAACTCCTCCTCCTCCTCGTCCTCGTCCTTCTCGTCCAGGTCCTCCGTGCCGTCGCTCTCGTAGCGCTCGTCCGCCGAGGAGCTGTCGGCTTTCGCCGCGAACGCCTTCCGCTTGGGAGCGGGCTCTTGAGGCTGTTTGTCCTGGGTCTTCCTCTTTTTGGCCAAGGGGCAGCCATACACACTGTCGAGAGAGGGAGAGAGAGAGGGAGAGAGAGGGAGAGAGGGAGGGGGAGAGAGAGAGAGACACGGGCTGGGTCACTGTCTCGGAAGGTCGGAGCAAGGGCGTCCCTGTGTCGGGGAAGCTACGTTCTGGAGGAACCCACCCTCTGGCACCGCGGCCGGGAGGGCACTGGCAGGCACACGGGCGCGCCATCTGCCCAGACCTGCTGGTGGGGCGGCGTCACCAGAGACCCCGCACGCCCGTGTCTGGCTGCTGTCAGCCTGCGGTCTGGCCTCCCGGGTCCCCGGCCCTGCCGTCCCGACAGCCACCTGACGGGGGAGCCCTCTCCCACCCCGAGGGCCGCTGCAGGAAGCTCTCTGGGGACAGCCCGCCGTTGACCCCGAGGGTTCAGTGACACACGTTTGAGGAGGAGAACTGGTTCCCGCACGCTGTACAGTGCGTGTGGGACGGCTCTGGATGTGTGTGGTTGTGCCCATTCCACGGACGGGACGCCTCTGTGGACACGACCGCCCACCTGCCCCGGCCACACTGGTGGGGGCTGCGGCCCAGCCCGGCCTCGAGGACCAGCACTCAGCGCTGGCCTGGCTGCCTCGCATCCTGCTGCGACGGACCCCCCCTCCGCCCCCCCGTGGGCAAGGCCTTCCCGGGGGGAGCTCACAGCGGCTCCGCAGACACATCTCCCAGAGCCAGGCCGCTCACTGCGGCTTTCTGCCTGGGAACGCTGGGCCCACGGTGCCAGGGGCGCAGGGGACAGGGAGTCACCGTGCCAGGGGCCCACCCACTGCTCTGAGTGAGACGCGTGGGCGCCGCCGCTCAGTGGGCCGGGGCTCTGCGGCCTCCGAGCCCCCGAGCAGTGCCCGGACCTGGCAGCAGCGACACCTGGGCTGGGTCAGGGCCCGTCCAGGGCACGTGGACGCGGGCGCCTCCTGCAGCTGGGGCTGTGCGACGCTGCGGACTCAGGGGTGAGGGGCCCGCGTGCGAGAGGACTGTGTCCCGCCAGTCGTGCCGTCCCGGGTCCTCTCCTCACCACTCACCGCCGCGGGCCGGGGCCTGCCCCGTGCGGGCGCCCGGGAAACAGTGGTCGGACGAGTGGGTGGGAGGTGACAAGCATCGGGATCAAAGCAGGGAGAGGGCGCCCACTCTGTCAAAGGAGCGAGGGGGCCCCCAGGAAGGGCGGCCGATGCACGTGACGAGGGGGAGAAAACAAGACCATTTCGACGGATTCCAAGCAGAACGGAGACTGCAGACGCAGCACGACAGTTCCAGGAGGCGGGGCTGGAAACCGCGCCCCGGAGTTCGGGGTGCGGGGGGCGGGGGGCGGGTGGAGGGCGGGCGCTGAGGGGTGCGGTGATGGGGGTCAGCCGGCCTGCAGACTGGCCTCAGGTCTCGGGTCTCCCCTGGGGGGTGGGGGGCAACTCGAGGGCACAGCCACATCTGAGAGCAAGGAAGGCGGTGGTTGGGGGCCTGGGGCATTTGGGGGGGGCAGGGTACAGGCTGTGCCACTCACCTGGGGAACCCCAGGGGACTGGTCCCTGCCTCTGAGAGGCTATCATCCCTTGAAAATGCACTGCTCCCACCAAGAATAACACCTACTATGACCAGAAAAAAAACTGAAGAAAGTACTGCTGCGCATGGTATTTCTGGCATGGAGTAAACAGAATTCTGAGATTCTTTTACGCAAATTTCTACACATTGGGGGAGAATCCCAGCCAAAGACCTCCGAAGGCCGCTGCACGGCGCGGAAGAGCTGCCCCCCCGCCCAGCGTGCACACCCCCCCACCCCCCGCCATGTTGAATGGCCCCGGCCCCCGCCAGGCGGCCCTGGGTCTGGGCCCACTGTCCAGTGTGCACGCCCCCCCCCCGGCCCCGGCCGTGCGACCGACCGCTCGGCAAGTGCGGCAGGAAGTGCGCAGTTTGCTCTCCCAGGTCCGCCCACGGCCTCCGGGGTCACCGTGGCTGCGGGCACCTTCCCAGCCCTCTCACCTCCCTTCGAGGCCCGCCCACACGTGGCTGGTGCCTCTGCTGCGTCGTTGGCCTGCCCTGAGCACGGGCCTCGTGCGCTAACACCGCTGAGCAGGCGGCCCCGCACCGGCCGACGCCCCGGACTCCTGGAAGGGACGCCATGCCCGCGGCCCCTGTGCCCTCGGGGATGCTGCCCGAATGCCCCACCTCGGTGCAGCCGGGGGACCCCTCTTCAGGTGGCACAGGTCCAGTGCTGGTGGGGGGGTGTCACGTGGACTTCTTTTGTCTCGTCCACGCACACTCAGCCCCCCCCCCCGCCCCCGAGTGTCCGGACGGCCCCCTGGGGCACGGCCCTCGCAGGCGGGGCCGCACAGGGCAGAGCGGGGCCTCCCCTCCCTCACCCTTCGGGGTGTGAGCCCCGGCCTTCAGCCGCTCGGCAGTAGCTGCTCTCCAGCTTCCGGTGTCTTCTGCCAGTTCACACGCTTTGACACTCGCGTGTCCTCTGGGTACCCGCCCGTGCACACTGTAAATAACACCGCACGCCAGCTACTAGCAAGCTCCGCGGTGTCTGCTCTCCACGCGGCCTGTCCCCATTGGCCCCGTCCCCGGCCTCTGCTGCTCCCGTGACGACGGAGTTCAGGCCCACGAGGCGGCCGGCACGGGCTCAGGAGGCGGCTCCAGTCCACGCCGCCTCCTGGGCTGCCGGGCCCAGCGGGTTGGAACAGCTGACAGCAAAGTCCCGGGAGGCACTTCTGCAGCGTGTGCGTGCGGCGTGTGGGCCCCCTACACCCACGTTCCGTGAGCATCCTGGCTGCGGGCGGTGGGGCCGGTGCCCTGAGACTTGCCTGTGGCGGAGAGTGGGTGTCGCCCGCTCCCACTGCGGGTGCCGCGGAGCCAGCTGCTGGGAGGGCCGGCCCGCCCGGCAGTCACTGGGGCTCGAGTCTGCAACGTGTGCTCCTAAACAGACGGCCGAGCCCCGCCTGCTGGCATGGCCCCGGACAGACAGAACTCACGCACGGCAGATGGCGGCATCTTCGGACTAACGGGGGCACCGGTGTGGGGGGGGGAGCGCAGGGACATGGCCGAGGCGGCGCTGAGACTGGCAGGGGGAGGGGGGTCGAGTCCCGCTCCGGGTCCGTGTCTGGAGCCCACCGCGCGGACCCAGAGGGGCGTGTGTGTGTGTGTGTGTGTGTGTGTGCGCGCATGTGCCCAGCGGCTCCTGGCCAGGGCGGGGGGGGCCAGCCTGAAACACACAGGGCTGGCCCGGGCGGGGCGACTCCTCGCGGTCGCTCCTGCCTTCGGCTCTGGAGCCGCCACGGTGCGTCCCGGGCTGGTCCGACCGGGGTCTCCCCTCTGCTCTGTGGTGTTTCCCCCCACGGTTCCATTTTCCCCACGGAGAGGTTTCGTTGACTCTTTATTTCCAATTCTTCTCCTGAGTTTTAAGTTCTTGCTTTCCCTTTTTAAAATTTCTTAGTAATCCTCATTGTTTTCTAAATAAACCGTCCTCCTATTTCTTCGGAATATTGTAACTTTTTTGAAAAGTGTATCTCTGTGTAGCCTCTGTTCCCTGCAGGCGGTCCTTTCTCTCCGCTGCGTGGTTCTCACCCTCCAGGCGTTCCCCGGGCCGGGGCCGGGCTGCGGGGACGGTGAGCTTCGGGTGCAGGGGTCTGATGGGGCTGCCCTGCGGGTCAGCTGACGCGCATGGTGTTGGCGTTTCCTCTCCGGTTGCTCAGGTCCCCCCCCCCAGGGGGGGCCCTTCCGGCTCGCAGGGGAGGAGGGCCCGTGCGGGCGGGTCATGAGCCGGGGTCTGGCCTGGGGGATGCGCAGCCCGCCCCCCCCAGATCAGCGCAGAGGCCCATGCGGCACCTCCCTGGGTGTTCCGCTCCCTGGGGTCCTCCCTGAGCGACGGCTGAAGCTCGCCTCGCCTCCAGGTGGGGGTCCCCCTGCGTGGGGAGCGGAGTGGTCGGCTGCAGCGCCCGGTGGTTCTCGCCCCGAAGCAGAGCCCGCTCCCCTGCAGGCCCATCACCACCGCCATCGCTGCGGGGGGGGGGGTGCTGGGCACCGTCCCCTCCAGCGGGTGAGGAGCGCCTCGCGGGGTCCTCGGAGAAGCCCCAGGTGCAGGTGAGGGGCAGCAGTTCGCCGGAGCTCCTGCACGTCCGATGCCGGTCCCTCCTGGACTCTCCCCGGTGTCCCTTCGCCCTCCAGAGCCACGCTCCGCCGTCGTGTTGGTGGGGGCTGCGTGGCGGTTCCAGCTGGCGCGTGCGTGCCGCTGGGTCTTGAACGCGGACACCGCCCACTTAACGAGCAGACCCACGGGGTGCGGTGCTTCTCCCCGTAGAACCCTGGGCTCTGCCGCGCGCCCGCGCTCATGCTGCTCCCGCTGCACCTCCGCGCCTGCTCCCGGCTGTGCTGGCCCGGCACGCCCCTCCTGCGGCCCCTCCAGACCGACCTGGAGTCCTGCCTCTCCCTAAAGGCGTTCCCAACCAGCCCGGAACTCGGGCTCCTCTGCCTTGAAGAACCCTGTGCCAGTCTCCAAGGAAGATATAAAGATGGGCCAGAAGCACATGAAAAATACTTTTATAAAAGCTGAATGAACCTAAAAAAAAACCCCGAACGCTCTACCACTGGATACTGAGCGCTACTTCCGTGAACTGCTTTACGTGGCCCCTGATGATCTCACGTGCGCTCCAGCTGCACCTCCGGTCGCCTGTCTCCTTCGGCCTCCGGGGCCCCGCTCGCGACTGCTCCCTGCACGTCCCACGGGCTGAAGGCCGGCGTGCGTGTGCAGCGCCCTTGTTCCCACCGGTGGACACTGCTGACCCTTCGGTGCGGCCGCCTGTCCTCAGGTTTGGCTCCGCCAGCACCGGCTCTGGACGGGGCTGGGCTGTGTCCTCTCCTGTGTCCAGACTGCCGGCGGCCCACCACCCACCCTAGAGGGTGCCGAGACTGTCAGGATACAAGGACCCCCACAACCCACGTCTCAGCAGTAAGACTGGCAAATTAAACTCCCCCAAAACATACTTACCTCTTCCTATTCC